TCTTCTATGACCATGATGACCTGAATACTATTATGTTCTTACGCAGTAATTTTTCAAATGTGCTATGTCATTTTTGGTTTGTGGTTAATGAGAGTTAAAACATTGCTGTGACATCATGCCTTTGCTCTTGCAGTCTGAAAATTTACCTGTAGCCGTCTGATAATAATAATTTATACCAGTCTGATAATATATTATCAGACGGCAATGAAAACAAAATCGGACAGTATTTAAAAAACAAAAAGAAGAGTGAAATAAAGGTTAAAAACATGTATGTCCAAAATAAAAAAAAGTTAGGAAAAAAATTCAGGGAAAGCAATCGCTAGGAAATTAAGTTGCTACATTATAGCAAATCCATGAAAAAATCGAGGTAAAACCTTCCCCAAATTATTACTTCCCACCTTTTGAAAGTGTTTTTGATACAGCACTTTGAATAAGCGAATTTAAATCCATTTCTGAGAAATAATCGGCAAATCTATTTTAAAATTTTATAAGGATTGTTTCCAGGTGGCTGCACTTTAAAAACCTGAGAATTTCCATTATATAAACTAAAACTCCAGGATGAAAATCAGCATGTTTACTTTACATGGTGATGGTAATTATGTCACCAAAAAATGAAATCTGTATCAATGTCAATTTATGCACAAAATAGATAAAAACGTTCCAAAATAAAAAAAGAAATCCTTCACCACGGGACGCCTGTCCTGCTTAGCTAAATGACTGCCATGGAATGAATGAAATATGAAACAAGAGTTCACTCACTGTTTTTACTGTCTCATTTCTTTTGTCTACTTATTAGACGGGTAGAAAACAATTGATGCCTAAACTCCCATTGTGTTATTATCAGACTCCTCCAAGTAACTTTTGGACATTTAAATGGCAATGTTTAAGTAAGATACATGCCTCATACTATTCTATATGTAAAATTATCAGACAGTTTTCGGCCCTAACGGGCCTCAAACAGTCTGATAATTTTACATATAGAACAGTATTCGGCATATATCCATTACATATACATGTATGTATCAAGTTGTAAATACTCATTAATTGAACAAGGAAATGTTTAAGTAAACATAGCTCTGACAAGTAAAGGAATTAAACAGTTGATAATGATTCCCTTTTAGGTTGATGCTGTGATAATACATGCAGACACTAAAACTGTGCTTCTTCAGCTTAAACCCCAGTTTCGAGGAATAGTTGTAAGTACATGATGTATAGTACAATCATATAAGCACTAACTCTGATCAGTTATAGTCTAATATTAAGATATTGGTTTGAAATATTGTGCAATATAAAAATGTTGATAGAAAACACATCAAAACCTCATAATACCCCTGTTTCTTGATTATCTGGCTAATGAATTTTAAAATAATATTCACAGATGTAAAAGTGAATAGGATTAGGCAAATCATTTGCCTATGTAACTGTTGATAACAAATATTCTAGATTGTTATTAAAAAGTCTTTTAATCCCTGAATTTTTGGTTTATTCAACAGAAAGCTCCATATTTCCACATAGGAAGTATTTCTAAGTTTGAAGACAATCTTCAAGAGGCACTAGAGGATATGGGGGCTCCAGACTCAGTAGAAATTAAATATGAACAACCGTAAGTATACTGTAGGGAAATTCACTAGTATATAAAACTTCATAGATGTTGAATTGTAGTTACGTAATACAATTATGAATACAGTTGAAAATACATAATTATCTAGAAGTATGTGCTAATTTAATATTAAATTGGATTTTAAGTACAATTTGGTAAAATTACAAGATCTGGATCAAGTACATGTATACACATGTGTAATCAAAGGTGCATTTACCTAGGTACATGTATCTTTATAGTATATAACTTCTTTAAATATTAAATCATTATATGTGAACACTGTACTTTTTATTATCTATTCAAAAATCATTTATCTCAGTTTTCTTCCTTATTTTACAGGTTTAGACCTGGTTTTTCATTGGCATCTCTGTTGACTTTTCTCCTTGTGTTATCAATGATGGTGAGTTGATTAAATAGTCTCGAAGGTAGCTATTTAAAAAAAAATTAATATCTCCTTTATTTGTTAACTTAAGACATCTCATAATTGGCTAGTGCATATGTTTGTCTATCAGATGAATTTTTAAGATATACATGTTCTTTGCCATTATGATGGCTGTGGAACATAATTGCCTCTCTCTAAAACAGTCCATGTTTTGATCCCATAATTCAAAGGGTATATTTTAGAGAATGGTAATTTTAAAAATAGTTTTAAACTCTAAGAGATAATTTTCTAAAAGTTATTTATTTCTGTTCAACTTTAAATTCATTTCCTAGCGGACATTTGCCAGAAGAGGACAAGTTGGAAAGGGGCCCGGTGGGGGAGGTTTGGGAGATCTTTTTGGAATGGGAAAATATCAAGTCAAGAAGGTCACCAAGGACACAGGGGTTAAATTCAAGTGAGTAATTCCATTTGAAGATGTGCATGTATAAAAATACTGTTAAATATTGTATTCAAGAGTTTCAAAGTATACTTTTGCAAGTACATGTATAATGCTTTGCCTTGTTTGCATAATAAAGTTGCAATTTTATTCAATTATTTGAATTCACTTTCACTCCTCTTCTTTTTCCAGGGATGTAGCAGGGTGTGAAGAAGCCAAGATTGAAATAATGGAATTTGTGAACTTTCTAAAACACCCACAGCGGTACAAAGAATTAGGAGCCAAAATTCCAAAGGGGGCCTTACTGACAGGACCCCCGGGGACAGGGAAAACTCTCCTCGCCAAGGCAACAGCAGGGGAGGCAAATGTACCCTTCCTCAGTGCCTCAGGATCTGAATTCTTAGAGATGTTTGTCGGTGTTGGTCCAAAAAGGGTATGTAGTTTTGCATGTACTTACTTTACAGACTTCATACTGAAATTCTTTTGCTTTTGAAAGATGTTTAGAAAAATATTTTGATGTTTTTGTAGTACACTTGCATATACATATAAAGAAATTATTTAAGTTTAATTTGTACAATTGTAAATTGTTAGACTCAGATTCTTTAGGGATGAATTTTATAGAAAAGTAAAACTTCCTGTTCGTGGTAAAATGCCATACTGGTGATGAGTTTCAGTCCTTGCATTTTGATTGTAGATCAGAGAGATGTTTGCACAAGCCAGATCTAATGCCCCCTGTATATTATTTATTGATGAAATTGATGCTGTAGGAAGGAAAAGGTCTGGAAGGTCATTTGGAGGTCACAATGAACAAGAAAACACACTGAATCAGCTTCTAGTCGAAATGGACGGTACTTTCAGAATTATTAAACACTTTTACTTTTTTTGGTTCTCAAAATGATATAAGGTACTTGTACATCTTGGAATACATGTACATTGTAAAGTGGGATCTGTATACGTAATAACAGGTGATGTAATTAAGAAAAATCTTAATAAATATACAAAAAATATTTTGACACTTGTTTACACTTAATGGTGAAACGCTTAGAACTCCTTTTTTTGTGCTTTCTCAGGTTTCAATACCCAGGAAGGAGTTGTGATTTTAGCAGCTACCAACAGAATGGATGTTTTGGACCAAGCTCTACTGCGACCAGGTCGATTTGACAGACAAATATATGTACCCACCCCAGACATTAAAGGAAGGTCAGCATTAATTGCCAGTAGTCAAATCATTGCCCCCAAAAGTTATTGGGAGCAAGGAAATTAAAAACAAGTAAAACCTTTGCAATGACTTTGTAAAGATAAGTAAATGAGTAGCCTTCATAATGTGATCTACACATGTGTTTTTAAAAATGAAGTACCTAAATAAAGGATTGAATTCCTTTTGGAATGAAGAGCAACCACTTTTTCAATGGGGTTCATTATGAAATAGTTAAAATATGAATCTGTTTTTTTTCTTTTAGAGCCTCAATATTTAAAGTTCATTTAGAAAGAATAAAAACAGAGATGGATAAAAAAGAATTGGCAAAGAAAATGGCTTCCATGACTTCAGGTTTTTCAGGTAGCTTGAATTTAATTTTACTCAAAATTTACTGTGGGTGATTTCAAAAGATTTGCAGTGTTTAATAAATGGGTACTATTTAGTACGATTTTTTTTTATACACAGGAGCTGACATAGCTAACATATGTAACGAAGCAGCATTGATTGCTGCTAGGGAGAGTGCAGCATCCGTCACAGTCAAACATTTTGATGCAGCCATTGATAGAGTCATTGCAGGTAAAAAAATTGTTCAATTCTCAAAAATTGATTAGTGTTTGAGTTTAATGTTAAATGTTGATCTTTACTGAATATCTATGTCTTTTACGATTGGTGATAACACATAAATGTACATGTGTAAATTTTAAATGAAAATGAATTTTTGTAAAGGTTTGGAAAAGAAAACAAAGATTTTCCTGCCACATGAGAAGAAGAAGATTGCTTTTCACGAGGCTGGCCATGCAGTAGCTGGATGGTTCTTAGAACACTGTGCTCCATTACTGAAAGTAAGTCCTTCAGTATAAGTCTGATTTTTAGTGACCAGACTCTTTACATACTGTAACTGAGACCAATGCTGTATCTATTGAACTACTCTACCTTAGAACAAAAAAATGTAACAAGTTAGGCTGAGAATGATATATTATATACGTAATAGTTATTCATCATTTACATTGATAGGTTTCTATCATACCACGAGGCAAAGCATTAGGGTATGCCATGTACGTCCCAGTAGAGAGACAACTATACACACAGCAACAGGTAGGATTGGATGTCTAATAATACTTCTGATTTATCATGATATGTACAAACTGGTATATACGAGGGCTGTTCGGAAATTATTGAGACAATTACATTTACTCCATAAAGGATGGAGATAATTTCATGAAAATTCATCAACATTTTATAAAGAACGAATTAAACAATGATGCAAAATTTCTAATTCCTATGATAATAAAAAAAGTTTCGGAGAAATTATAAACATGCATATGTCTGTCGACCCGGAGCAGCATCGCTACGTCATTTAACATCACGTAAGGCGGAGATGGTTTCGCATGTAAAACGATCGCGAAGTGTTTAACACTTTTCCTTCTTTGTTATTACATACAACTTTACAAAAATCAAACAGTCTCTTTTCTCAACCTATTCTTTAAAATGTACGGCGTTGCTACCCCAGTGTAAAATTTTCATATGTGAGAAAGGATGACTTAGAATCATGCAGTGCCGATTTATGCAACAATGGTCAACGATATAAATACCGTAACGATATTAATATCGTATGTAATAGCTGATGGTTGTCCGGTGCTTTTGATTTCACTCTGGTTGAATTAATTGTAAAAAAAAATGTATATCAATGAAAAAAAAAACCAACACATTTGTTTTTCTCGTTATTATTGTTTTAGCAGGTCGTCCTGTCTGGAAAAGAGTTCTACTTTGCGATACACACAATTTTAGGTATGCTTGCTGCTCCGCCCTTGACATCAAAATCCATTTTTTCGTTCTTTGCAGATTTCTCTACCGCGCTTAATTTTTTAATTATCTCCGCATTTGTGATCAAAATTCTAATAAAGTTGCACAACAAGAATTTGAAATAAAGCTGAAAAATTATACACATAAACTGAATTATTTTCGCTCTTATTATGAGTCCACGAAGAGTTAGAACGTTGGTGTTACATATTTTCAATATCTGATTTCGTAACTGCTCCGGGTACCCCTACTATTGATGCATTTATATACCATTGTACGGGATATATTTAATATTTGTAAAATATGTTTTGCTTTTATAAATTCTACGTGTATGTCAAACGTATATGCAAAATTTCACCGAAAGACGTTCATTAGAAAGCAAAATACACACAGTGTCTCAATAATTATCGAACAACCCTCGTATGTACAGTGCTATAAAATGAATGGTAATCTATAGATAAGAATATTTACTGCAGATACTTTAATATGTAAGCTGTCTTAAAATTATTGTCTGTTTTCCCTCTCCTGACTGATTGACTTATTTATTTTATATGGAATTTCTAATCTTGTCAACAACTATTTAAATCTAATTGATACATGTAACTTCTTTTTGTCCCCCGCTTGAAAAGTGGGGGATATTAATTTGGGTCTGTCCATCCGTTCGTCTGTCCATCCGTCTTTCTGCCTGGCTGTAACGATTTCATTTCCGCACGATACTCGAGAACCCTTTGAGCTTTCGAATTGAAATTTTGCATAGCAACTCTCTATGGACTAAAGAAGAACCCTATTGATTTTGAGGTCAAAAGGTCAAGGTCATAAATTCGCATATTCTGTCTGTTATAACACTTTCGTTTCCACGCAATATCTCAAGAACCCTTTGATCGTTTGCAATGAAATTTTACATAACAACTCCCTTTGACCTAAGGAAGACCCCTATTGATTTTGAGGTCAAAAGGTCAATGTTCAAGGTCGTAAATTTATATATTCTGTCTGTTTGTTGCACTATCGTTTCCGTGCGATATTTCAAGAAGATTTTGAGCTTTTGCAATGTACATGTAATTTATACCAAAACTCCCTTGGACCTCTCTCAACCCTCTCAAAGTGTCCCGCCCCATTTGTTTCATTAGTGTTTAATTTATTGTATTACATGTCGCTATTTTTAACACAGGGGCATGAGGAGAGTTATTATGCATAAAACAGGTTCTCGGTGGACTTTATATTCTTATTACAACTACTAGAACTGTTTAATAAAGGCTAAATTAGTCACCATGCATTGTGTAAAATTTTGACAATATCGAACGTGAATATATACATGTATGTGACTTCATGTTTGCATATAATTGTCGCTGATCGTAAGCCATTCCGTGGTGTAGTGGTATATCTCTCGCTTCACATGTGAGAGGTCCCGGGTTCGAATCCCAGATGGTTCACTTTCTTTTTTTCTGAAATACTTTTTTTTTCTACTAAATGATAGTATTCAGCATGTAAAATGAAAAATTTATAAGGTCTGGCTTGTACAAACTCATAAAATCATCATTACAGTGTGATAAATATTCCATATATAAGAATCTTCTATACACATAATAAAGAATAAGCAATCAAATTTTTATATCCATATTGGCATATTTTATTTGCTTCAGTATACATTTAATAATTCTACAAATTCAGTCAGGGGGATCTGACCCCTAGTCCCTACCCCCACCCCACCCCCCTGACCCCCGAGCTGCACATGGTTTACTTTTTCCCTAAGTGGGGGACACAAATTCTCTGAATTAACTCGTTTGAAATAATTTTGAAAATTAAAGCAATATGAGCTGCAACTTCTGTCAATGACAGAAAAAAAATGTTAATAAACTACTTTTGTTCATATTTGAGATGGAAGAACTATTTATAAGCTTCGATTGAATCAAAATTATGTTATTGTCATCCTGTACAAAAAAATGATTTCTTATATAAACTGTATATTGGATTTTATAAAGAAGTCGTTCTTCTCCATTATTTTAGTCTAATTGATCATAAATGTTTTAAGTTACATGTACACATTTATCATAATAACACATTTTAACAGCAAAATAAAATTTTCATAAATGCAGCTCATATTGCTTTTTAAAGCATTGATGTTAGAAAAAAAAAATTATTCTCTTGCCTTCTACCTACATATTTTTTTTTTCCACTTGCAAGCAGGAGAGTGAAGCAAACCAAAATGTTCAAGGTGGCCTAATGAAGTATTCAGTGAAATTGCTGTAAGTAGTGATTCCTTAGTAAATAATGGCATGTTTTTTATAAATCAGATCCAAGATCAGATGTGCCTAGCCTTGGGAGGAAGAGAATCAGAAAAGCTGTTCTTTGGGGAGTATACATCAGGGGCCATGGATGACCTTCAAAAAGTGACTTCTATGGCTTATTCACAGGTATAGAAAGCATGGTTTTTCAATTATTCTGACATGCTCTAAAAAAGATTTCATATGCATCTATTGTTATAAATGAATTTTACTGTATATAGGTTGTAAAATTAGTTTTCTGAACATTGTTTTGGCAATTGTTTTTTTGACTGTCTTGTCTTGATGTTTCCTATTGAAGTATACAATATAAATCCTGTTTTTGGATCTTTGTCTTTCTCATTTAAGTTCACTTTTGTTGTTGGTATCTTATAAATTTATAAATATAGCATTTTTATGATGAGTTTAAGGAAAATAAGTACACGATTGACTGTTTTTCAGGTGGTTACCTATGGAATGAATGAAAAAATAGGTCAGGTCTCTTATCACGATCCATCCAAACAAGACCAGGGCTTCACCAAGCCGTACAGTGAGGAGACGGCTAAGATGATTGATGAGGAAGTGAGGGCCATGGTCAAAGAGTGCTCAGATAGGACCTTCCAACTCCTCAAATCAAAGAAAGCAGAAGTAGAGAGGGTAATTATGTTATTGTAATTATACATGTACATTAAATGGAGAAATTTCCTCATGACAGGTATAGAAAATGTGATGTTGTAACAGTTAGAGAATACTATATACAGGGAAATTTTCACCCCAGTTTTATCTTCGCCTACCCTCATTTGGGTGAATTTAAAACGTGTCATAATTTCTTAAACAAAACTATGACTGTGCGAATTTAAAATGGGGCAAAATTGTTTGCAAGTGTGAATGGGCAAAAATAACCTTATGTACCATACTTGAATATGCATTCTGTATATATAATTACCTTTCATTGAATAGGTGGCTACAAGACTGATGGAGAGAGAAAAAATAGAAAAAGCAGATTTAGAAGAACTACTTGGAAAGAGACCTTTTGCAGAGAAGACAACTTATGAAGAATTCGTTGAAGGCACAGGTTGGTTGTTTTATTGGCATGTTTTGTCTGAATTGAGTTAGGGCCGGTACACATGGTAAGGCTTGCCTTATGTCATGGAACTTAAGTTCAAGCCTTACCCTGTGTACACCCTTAATACACGTTTTTTCGAGCCTCATGAGTCTGACTTAGGAATAGAACACTGCTCTGTATCTTAATACAAGACTCAACTGACATTTATTTCTTAACCAATGAAAACCATTCACCCAAAATTCAATGTATTTTTACAAAACAATACACGTTGGTATATTGAAAGGAACACAAAGTATATTCGAATAAGATAAGGAAAATTTCTGCAAATGCTTCTGTTAACCTCCTCCTCTTTGTTAAGAAGTGTGAATGCAATGGTCGGTAAAATTATTTCAGAGTCCTATAGCTAGTAATCTATTATTCTGTTAAATAATGTGCAATGTTTATGGCTCAAAACACATGGAATTTATGTAAATGTTGTTTATAATCTTGTAAGTCTTGCCTTAGCGTGTGGACATGAGAGCCGTACGTCCTGCAAAATGTAAGGTTTTAGACTTATAAAGCAAGCCTTACCATGTTTACTGGCAAGTCCCAAGATATTAAGTTAAGGCCTAAGCTGCTAAGTGGGAAAAAAATGAAAATTCCTTCAGCCTAGATGACATGAACTATAGAAAAAAAAAACTCCATACATATATGGTATTGACTGCTTATCATTGTGGGATATTTCTTGATTCTAAGCCGTGGATATTTTAAAAATCTCAATATTCTAGGTTTTAAATATGTAAAGATGTTGTCTTAACTTTATTGTGCAGATATTATTACCATATAAGTGGAAATTTTAGCGAGACGCAAATTTAGCGATTTGTCCTTAAGATATGGTATTTTATTTTTACCAAGGAGTAATTTTAGCTATTTTAAAATGCTCACTAATGAAACTTTTACAAATAAAACACAATTTATTTTTAGCGATATTTAATATTAGTGATCTCAGAACCCTCGCTAATAATGCCAAAATTAAATCATCGCTAAAAATTCTGCTTATACGGTATAGACGGGAATAAAGTGTTTACTTCATGTGTATGGTTGTTCATAACTAGAGAATATATTCATACTGTATGGATGTACCATTTACAGGTACCTAAATAAGATCAGACAACATGAAATGCAATGTTTATTAACCGATAAGTACAGAATTTCTATTTGCATTTTCTCTCAAGTTTGTGGCATTTTTTATGAAAGTATTTTAAATTACTATTTATTTCATAGTTTGCAATTTTAAAAGTGGCTGCCGGATAGACAAATACTTTGGAATCATACATGAATTTTTTGTGAGGATTGGTATTTATGGGCAACCAAAATTTCACTGGTTTCTGGGGACATATTTTGAGGTTTTAATACTGGTACAGTATGTGTAGAAGACATATTGAAACCATACATTTCATGGTATGTTAATTCAAAGGTTTACTGTTAGTGTAACCCATGAAATCCCCAAACACGGGGCCCCAAGAACAAAAATGATTACACAGTATTATGCATATAGCCAATTTCAATAGACCTAACTGATTACGCTGTTTGTGACGTGCTAACGTTTTGCTAGTCGAGAGGTTTAAATACTACGTCACATTGTCACCACATCAAAGGAAGTAGCCGAGATACAGCTTGTTTGCTGGGTAAAAATAAAATGGAGTAGACAGTCCCGCCGTTGTTTTCTTGCATATTACCAACATAGTTAAATGTCTTTAAAACTTGAATAAATCAATGAAAGCATTTTATGATTTTTTTCAGTCCATTACGAATATTTAAAGTGGACAATTATTTCATTCTATCGCAAACTTTATCTTTTTGATATTTGCGTACATGTATAAAAATCAAGTAGTGCATAAGTGCATTTATTGGTTACGCGTATCAATCCAAGCTATGCATTCTGAGATTGTTGCAATTCAGTGCAAGAACTGCTGAAAAATAGAGCCCCCTCTCTTCGCATATATTTGAGAGAAATGGTGAAGAAGAAAGGCCAGGGGAGGCGTTAAAATTTTATCGATTGAAGTTCAATTTAGTTATGTTTTAATAAAGAGGTAGGGGCTCCATGTGCGAAAATCGGCCCCAAATTTTTCGAATTTTCAAAGCTAGTTAATAAAATCGACTTTACTTATATTTCACAGTTTACCATCATTGCATTCCACAAATAGCAAAAGTTCGGGAGATTGACTACTTATGACGTCATATTTGTGACGTAAATCTGACGTAATTTGGCAAAAATCATCAAAATCTCATAATTTTTGCCATAAATTGATTAAAAAAAATACCTCCGCACACACCCACCAAAACAAAATTTCTTGTAAATGTTCATTATTAACAAATCTATCAACAATTGAAGTATCGTATTGGTGGAGGCCTGCGGAGCATGAAAAATCGATCGATGAACGAAAAGCTTTCCTGTCATTCCAAGTAATCAATTATCATAATTTACATCAATATAATTTCCAATAGATATAATATTGTGTTTTTGTATCACCGTACATATTTTAAAAACATGTTTTAATATATCTACTAAAAAATGTAAGAAATTTTTATCAATTTAGGACATGGTAGCTGAAATATGCTGTGATTTTGGGTATAATAATTCCAAATCAGTCCGAATTTTGCTACACTCACGCAGTCATTTACCTTATATACCGCTGTACCTCGCATTACACATGCACACCTGTGTCAATCCAACCTTTATTTTTAAACAGAATGGTTTGTGAATATTACATGCAAAAATAAAAAGGCATAATGTATTAATTAAACTCTAGCTTCAACAATATCATTCATAATTTGCTACCCTTTTCGAAAATCAACTCGTATGAAAACGATGCATTGGACTTCCCATCGAAGTCGTGACGTTTTTGCCTAATCAGTTGTGAATTGTTGATGGATAAAACATAATGAATTAGGTTACGATAGAATGAACTTCCAAGAACATTATCTGTTTGATAACACCTAAAAATATACAAAGTTATGACTGCTATTGTACCCAACTCCCTACAGTTTGGTATTATCTATTTTCGAATCACGTGTACAAGACTGCAGCTGAATTAATTGCTCATTCTGCACACATAATTTATTTATATACAATGTTCTATACGTGTAATAAATTAATATTGGTTTCTTTAAATGCAACTTAAAGGGTATGTAAGTAACGTTTTTATAAAACAAAGCGAAAACTATTCCAAAGTCAAAACCGGGTTAATATCGGTCAGCGTCAGTCATGTAAATACCACCGCCCCCCCCCCCCCCCATCCCCTTCTTTCTAATGCGCCGATTTGTCGAAGATATCTTGTTCTATTATATGAATATGATTTTTTTGTCAACTTGGACAACTGGCTTTCATATATTAAATATACTGAATTCTGCATCTTTATAAGTATTATATAACATTCACAGTTAAAATAAAAAAGATGATTCGAAATAAAATGAATGTACCTGTAAATATTTGATCCACACACCTCATTACAATTCTGCGTGTAATTAGTCTTTCATAAAAAAAAACTTAAGTAAACAGCGCAACAATTGAACACAATTAAAACAAAATGATAGTAAATCAGCATGTGCTTTTCTGTTTATAAAAAAGAAATTAAAAAAGTAATTTGAGCGGAAATAAATTGGATGCCGTGGAACCCTCCTCGAAAACAGATAAACCTCTATGTGAAATGACTATGAAAAGTCAATCATTGAATGTGGTATAAGTGATTGTTGATTGAATGTTGTTTACATTAACCATTTGGAAATAGTTTATACTTAAAATAAAAGATAACAGTGAAATTTCAACTCACTTGTACATTACATTTTATTACGAAAGCCCAGTGAGCTCATTTTCGTAAGTAAAAAAAATAAATTTTTCGCGTAATAACGCGAAACTTTCGCGAATAAACGCGTTACTTTCGTGCTATGACGCGAAACTTTCGCAATATAAAGCGTAACTTTCGCGAATAAACGCGTTACTTTCGCGTTATAACGCGAAACTTTCGCGATATAACGCGTAACTTTCGCGTCATAACGCGAAACTTTTGCTGTTTAACGAGACATTTGCTTTAGTCTCAACGTTCTTTTGATTTTGTCATCAATTTTATTCATTTAATACAATGATAATCAAAAGGCTATTTTGATCTTGGACTATCACAAGTTAAATTTTAAGCTTTCTTGCTATTGAATCCATCTTAACCGTCACAATTTGTCTTTCTCAACGCTGTTCAACCAATTCAAAGTTTATGCGAGTTCCAAAAGTTAAACTTCAAGCTTATTAATTTCGGGGAAAATCACCCCTTTTCCGTTTTTTTATGCACTCTCTAGAGAATTTGAAATAATTTTATTCTATAGAGATCAAGATTTCAGAAAATTGTCAAAATGAGGTAAATTTGTCAATTGTGTTCCACCGCATTTGTGAAAATTTGATAGCAGATTTTCATTTGTCTCCTTTAGATTCACTGTGGAAATTAGATATCCTATTTTGAGGTTGCACCACGTTTTCATTCCATTGCTTACGAAAACATTGACAATTCAGAGTGTAAAAACTCTGCTGTATACCTTCATAGTTTTTATTTATGGCTAGTCCACGAACTTCTCTATAACCCAATATTGGAGACAATGAAATTATACATTGTTCATTCACTTTTAAGTTATGTTTCTACAGTGTATAATTTTTTGTCCAAAATGATTGATTGCTTAATTTACTAGTGGTACAGTTGAAGTAAATGTTACTGATTAAAAAACAGCTAGAAAAAATGTCAAATGGAGATTTTCCTTAAGAAATAATCAGTCTAAAGAATTTAACAATTGAAAAACATGTACAAGAAAGTAAAATTCATTTTATTAATTCAATAGTAAGATTTTTAAAATAAGATAAAATATTCTGATGACTAATCTACCCTATTCTAGCATAATATTTTTTCGCAAAATAACGCGAAAGTTACGCGTTTATTCGCAAAAGTTTCGCATTATATCGTGAAAGTTACGCGTTTATTCGCGAAAGGTACGCGTTATAACGCGAAAGGTTCGCGTTATAATGCGAAAGTTAGGCGTTTATTCGCGAAAGTTTCGCGTTATATCGCGAAAGTTTCGCGTTATAACGCGAAAGTTACGCGTTATATCGCGAAAGTTTCCTGTTATAACGCGAAAGTTACGCGTTTATTCGCAAAAGTTTCGCATTATATCGCGAAAGTTACGCGTTTATTCGCGAAAGGTACGCGTTATAACGCGAAAAAAATTATTTTTCTTACCTACGAAAATGAGCTCATTGGGCTTTCGTATGATATGAATAAATGGAATGTTGTATTTAAAAAAAATCAGAGACATTCTTTTCCAAGGATGAAAAATTTTATGTAAATCAGATAGCTATTAATTTCATATGCTGAAGCTAAGTTGTTTCAACTCGTAAGGGGGGGATTAATTGTTGTTTATTGATCCCCTCGAGAATCCTTCACTCATGGAAACGCAACTTGCTCATTTGCAGATCTAAAAGGGATAGGGGTAGTTTGGTCCGCCCCTCCCCCCGGAATTTGCAGAGTTAGCAAATTCATATACTAAACCAAATAAAAGAGACTTTGAACAGTGAGGGATCTTTTTCGTGAAAAAACAACAGGGGACACCGATTTATATGATCTCATCCGAACAGTCTCAACGTCCCGCAGTTAATTTCATCCCATGACGTATCTAATGATAAGGTCTGAATAGGAAGGGGTTTGTCTTGATCACATGAAAAAATGTTATAGTTAAATGTTTACTCAAAAAAATAATGAAAAAAAAAATCACTATATATTTAAAGCAATTTGATTTCGAGGGGTCCATTTTATAGCATTAGTTTCGGCCGCAGGAGCGGCCGATCTATTTGTGGTTGTATTAGAGACGTTATTTTTTTAGTAGTTCAGTAAAATATTTTTTAAATGATAACATGTATAAAATCAGAAATGAAATATTTCAAAACATCACCTATTCCCAGTCTTACGTGCTTGATTTTAATATATATTTTTTTCGGATTATCAAAATGAAAAAGGTTTAGTAATGTCCACACAACAATACGTGTATTATGTAAATCAAAAGAGTAACAGGGACGATAGAATTAAGGCTGAGCATCCCCTTGCAATTATATTGATCAAGCTTAAGGCAGCATTGGACATCGATCCCGATGCAAATTACGTCACCTCCGTTTTGCACAGAATTAACACAGAATTAGTCCTTAAATACAAACACACACAGTTGCCTTCCAATATCCCCTAAAACTCTATTGTAAAGAAGTAATTAGACTTGTGCATCTTTTAATATCCATATTAAGATATTAACAAGACTATTACTTAAAAATCCTAAATGACGTTCAAAAGTCATATTTCATGGACGATATTGGGTGCAAAACACAGTTTTATGTATGACGTTATCAGGACGTTACTTGGTGAGGGACAAGCAAAACTGGCCCCTGTAAAGAATAAAATGGAGGCTTGTTACATATACTTCTGCATTTCAACGGAAAGATAAAATTGTGAATTTAATAAATATCCAACTATAATACATTCATCAATTACTACTAGGGAGTATTTGACACCTGAAATATGGGGGATATTGGGTTGTTTATGTATCCATTTTCAGCATTTTTAAACCCCCCCCCCCCCCTGCTCAACAAAAACAGAAAAAATCTGACAAAATAAGTTATGTGCATTTCACAGAACAAGTCCTAAGGTTTTCTTTTAGTGTGCTTTTAGGGTACATTTTCCACCTCTTGAAAGAGCTACATTACCTGTTAATTGACTCATGCAATTCCGCACATGTGAAAACAAGATGTTTTGGGAGTTATCTCCCCCTATTAAAAAGTCTCACAATTTTTTTTTCTAAAAATGAATGCACATTTTTTTTCTTTAAATATTAAGAGAAGACTCTACTTTATGCGAATAAAAACAAAAAAGATGCAGTTTTCATCTAGACTCCTATAAATAGCAGGAAAATCCCTACCCAGCATGCTTCTCTTTGGGAACCCCCCCCCCCCTGGATTTTATACTAAACTGCGTTTAGCTACCATTAGAAAAAATTGTTTTATTAAGAGGAATTATATACTGGACAGAAGTCTTCATATCAATTTACTGATGACCTCTATATTGCAACAAATTGAAAACATATCAACGTTTTGAAAGTGACCAAAATTATCAAGTTTTTGAGATATTTCCTTTCTGTTATTAATGTAGTCAGAGACATATTTATGAAGAAAATTGGTTGCTATGACAACCATCAGATTATCATCATCATACCCTGACAAAAGAAATTTAGCCGTTGTAAACTATCAAAAAAGTTTTGTTGTTCTTATCAATATTAGTGAGTATGGTTAACTCAGTGTTCTCTGAGGAGGGTACCGAGTAACTGTGTGTGTATAACGTAATGACGCTACTTTTTAACGTTAACGTTAACTATTAACGGCGGTCAATCAATGCCTTAATTTTCTCCTTAAATTAAGTTTTTCGGACAAATTGGTGTTATTTTTAAAAAATAGACATCCACAACATATAATCAAAAAAATAAAATTTATTTTTGAGCTGGGGCCGATTTTCGCCAATGGAGCCCCTACCTCTTTGTATATATAGTAAAATTAATACCGAACGACAGAATGTAAAGCGTAAATCTATCTACACATGCACTTCCTGATTCCTAGAGAGGGGCATGGCAAATTTTGGAAATAAATGAATAAAAAATCTTTAAAGAAAAGTATATCCTCGACCAGCAAGAAAATAAATAATCTGTCCTTGGCTGGTACTTCTAACACCTCACTCCAACCGTTTTTTTTTTCTTTTTGTTTATATTTATATAAATATTATTTTTTCTATTCATATGTTAAACTATTCTTTTTACTCTCTCTCTCTCTCTCTCTGAATTCATTCTAAATATGTACAAATTGATAATCTACTCCTCATACATTTGTTTTTCAATGTTAATTGTACCTTGACCTATGGAGAGAACGATCATAGGCATTTAAGCCTGCTGTTCAATCCAATTCAATGAATCAAATATATTTTAAACTAACTCCACCCGAAATAGAGTTTACTTTTTTTCTTTGGCTTGTCAAATTTTCTTCGGTTGTAAAAAAAGAAAAGAAGTGATCCATCCCTGATTTACATGGTGATATGAAAAGAAATAATCTGAAACGGAAATTTCACCAGCCCTTCTCCTGGGCGTCCCTTTACCCACACAGTGTATGTACATTCATTTTCTCAAGGCAGCTGCTGTAACAAGGAACAATCATCTCGTCTCTACAAGTCCTTTGTTTCGCTTGCGTTAATACAATATAAATTGTGACATATACATGTACACAAATGGCAAATGCTATAAAAAAATTATTATATCACCTCGGTTTCAATTTTATGGACTCTAAAAATGCATATAATATAAATAATGCTCTTTTTCAACTGTTTAATAAGATTTGTGCTGTCTGCCCCCTTTTGTAAACCGTTTAACGCGGCGATGTGTATTGCAGCTGACCGACTTTAGCGTGGGAGAGAAGTGATCTCGGCTACTTCCTTTGATGCGGTGACAATGTGACATAGTATTTAAACCTCTCGACAACCAAAGCGTTAGCACATCACAAACAGCGCAATCCGTTAGGTCTATTGCAATCAGCTCTAATTGCTCATCCTTGGCAGACATGATTATTAATATAGTTGTAATTTGATATGACAGGATCTATAGAGGAGGACACAACTTTACCAGAGGGCTTAAAAGACTGGAACAAATCGGAGGAGGAGAAAGACAAGGAGGAAAAGAAACCAGAGGAGGAAACAAAGAAACAAGAGGCCGAGTCCACAGCTACCCATTAATGGGAGTCCATTGCTAGCCATTAATACCAGTCCACTGCTAGCCATCAAGTTCTATAAACTGTGTAGTGGGATTTTGCATCATGTGTGTAAACTTCAAGAAAAATTGAGTGTAATAGATTTAATAATTCATCATTTTTCAAAGACACTTTCCTGAACTGTATGTGTAGAAAGTCAATGTCTAATTGTTTTGAAACATTGTAATTTATGAAAATTCAAATGTAAGAAATTTGGCTTTTTGAGTTTAAGAAATGCCATATTATTGTGATGGAACTGTACTTGTTAAAATATTAAATTTCGTAAATACATGTACTTCTGCTTATTTTTTCAGGGTTTGAAGATTCACATTTAATTTAAATCATTATGTGTTATTAGAATTCAGCTAAATTAAATAAAACCAAAGGTACAAAATATCTACATATAAATACCTCAAATAAGATACTTATTATCATCAAACTTTGTCAGTTGATGCTTCTTGGGTTATTGGCTTTTTTTTTTTTTTTTTTTTTTGAAATTCTAGGATAAAGTTTATTAGGAGAGCAAGTCAAGGACCTTGGGCCTCTTTGCCCTCTTGTATCGTCACTCACAAGCACTTGTTTCATATAGAATGCTAGTTTTCTACTATACAATTAAATAGAAAACTAACGTACTGTGTGAAACAAGCATCTGTGCTGTCACTGTCTTTTTTCTTTGATAACGTATGTCTTACGATCTAAATCATTCATAAAGTAATCAAAATGAAAATATCCAGTGGCAGTGGGCAAAGCAGACTCTCTCCTCCTCACGATATTAAATTTTATGATTTGACAGCTTTGTTCATTTGAAATCAGTTATTTTGACCAAACACATAATCATTATTGTAGATCATTACATCATCACAAGCCACTCTATTCCCACATTGTGGGAATAGAATGGACACAAAACCCATGGCTTGGGACGATGGGATCATTAAGTGAATTTATTTTCAACAAAACTTTCAAGAAAAGACATCTGATCGTCACTGTAACCTTGACATTTTTCTTTTACAAATATAAACATGAATTGGATTTCTCCTCTCCATCTCAGATGTTGAAGTCAAGATCTGTATTACAAGAATGTGTCTGGTAATCTCTCACATCGCTTGTGGATCAATATTCAATCGTCTTTTTAAAATCCACAAAAAATATACAACACAAAATATATTTAGTGATAAAAACTTTATATACAAAAAATTGTACAAACCAGGTTTTTTATAATGTTGAAAAGATTAAAGAATGCAATTCAAAAACAAGTGATTTTCAGTGGCGGATCCAGAAATTTTGAAAAGGGGGGCTGACCAGTCTGAAGTCAGGGTAGGGGCCCACAGTCACACCAAAAAACATTGATTTATCAAATATTGTGTATTTTTGAAGACTCAAAAGGGGGGGCCCAGGCCCCCTGGGCCCCCCTCTAAATCCGCCAGTGATTTTAAATAATAAAAGTGGCATTTGTTGGTGATTAATATCACATACCAGTAAACAAAATATGAGCAGATGGCAGTAATTGCAAATACATGTATTATGCTGAGATAAAAATGCCATCAGTGCATTTTGACTGGAAAGATAAAATCTGGTGAAAAATGCTGTGGCAGCAGTGTACAATTGTCATTTTTAAAGGATCTCTCTCTCTCTCTCTCTCTCTCTCTCTCTCTATCTCTCTCTCTCTTAAAATTAGTGAAATAAAGTTTGATCCACAGCTGTCCCAAACAAAAGTCTCCAAGATGAAGGAATTTTCCATGTGGAGGCAGGCTTTATAATGGTCTTTCCATCCAAATCATATTTGGGCTGCAAATATGGAAAATTAACGTTGTAAATCTTTTGCTTACATCCATCCAACTGGTTCAAATCATTGGATTAAAAACATGTTACAATTACATTTCTTGACTTTTGAAATTATAAACTTCTTCAATTCACTGTGTCCACTTTTCCCTTAAGACACTCTTTGAGAACATGTATGAAAGACAGTAAGACACTGGGCCAAAGGAAGAGAAACTTTTTTCCATACAAGTCCGTTAATAGATGGACAAATACCAATCCTTATGATATAACCACAAAGAAAAGCCATATACGAGGGGCATTTCAAAAGTTCTGGCAACTGTTTAATAAAAGATTAACCGTTTTACGTAAATTATTGAGTTTGACATCATTGGAAAGAGCAGAAAAATATACACATATTGTGATGTTACTTTATAATTTTTATGACGTAATAACTCCGAAAATGACGTCAGAATATAGAAAGTTAAGCATACTGTAATGTCGCGTTTTTATCGACATGAGACGATTGTAAAAGTTCTGTCAAAGGCTTATTTGAAAAAATATTTCAAAGAAAATTTTAATTTGCTAAGAGATAGAGTAGGACTATGATACTGTTTATCAGCAATTCCATTATTCATTGTATGGTTTGTTTACGAGCACGGTTTATGTCCGTTATGCTATCATAGACATTCATTTAAGATTTTTATTTACATGATACGGCTGGATTTTCGGTCTTTTATATAGCTCTCCATTGTTTGAAATAAAACATGTTCTGTATTAAATTGAAGTATATTAATGCAGTTTTCATCACGTATATTTTGAGTAACAGGACTCTTACCGTTTAAGAATAAAATGTACTAAATCTTGTCCCCGACTTAATTCTATGCGTATTTTTTCATATAAATTCAACTTCGGCACCCCAAAACTCGCTACTGCTTTTGACTTTTGAATCCAAAAAATGAATATAAGTTACTCAGACATGTAAAGTCTTATTTATTTTCCATGCATTAAAATTTGTGAATATGTGGAGGTACGGTGGGGTTTCAACTGCGCTGCCGCCATTTTGGATTTTACGAGAAAATATGGGGCACACTAAACTTAACTTCTCTTGAGCCTTCATCGATCCCACCAATCTGGTAAAAACACCTGACGAATTTATGCCATCGAATTTTGTAACACGATCGCCTATTTTTCTTTGATTGTCAACTTTGTCTTTTTCTCACATTTAGGTCTCTTTTACGCAAAAGTTTGAGCGAGATTCGATAAAACCATGCCAAGTTTGACACTCGCTAAAACCATTTCAGAACAAGAAGATCTCCAAAATAAAATACCATATGATAGATTGTGGTCTATATGAACATTCCGCCAACTGGTATTTGCCTCCGTTAACTTGCGACCGAGTAATGAGCAAAAGTTGTCTTGAAAATTTTTATTTGATCAAATTGTGTCTTTTGTTACGTCATTTTTATGGTCAGTATGCTAAGTATCCTATATTCTGACGTCATTTTCGGAGTTATTACGTCACAAAAATTATAAAGTGACGTCACAATATGTTTATATTTTTCTGATCTTTCAAATGATATTAAACTCAATAATTTCCGTAAAACGGTTAATCTTTTATTAAACAGTTGCCAGAACTTTTGAAATGCCCCTCGTAATTTTCATATAGAAATTTACCTTAAAATCAATGAAATCTAGCCACAGGTTGAGGTTGTAAGCTAATCTAACAGCATCCTGAGCATTGTCTCCTTCTGCACAAAACACAAGGAGGACAACAGCAGGTATACTCTCCTTAGAACTGCAAGAAAAATGCTTGTGTAATGAAGATCTTTTTTTGAAATAAGGCATATTATTGTAACGGGAAGGGAGAAAATGTACCGCTGGACCTGGAATTGAACCTGGGACCCCTGCATCTCCAGTCAGGTGCTCTACCAACTGAGCTATCCAGGCCAATATCCACGGATCTCTAAATCATTCAGTGAAAAAATACATATAAAACCTTCCACAGATTTTCTTATACCCGTTGTTTTTTTTGCAATTTGGATAAAGGAGTAAATTTTACTTGCCATTCATCAAACAGGGTTCTGGCAATGCCACCCCCAGGGAGATAGAGGGAATCCTCTGTCTTTCCAGACTCAGTCAAACAGGGTCTTTGTTCTAAAGGTTTCCACTGTAGAGCCTCGTGACAAAACCTTTCTTTGTGTTTGTCTTCTATATCAGAGGTGGCTACATACCTAAATTGGGACCTGAAATTGTAATTAATGTTACTGCTATCAGGATCATTTTTAGTGTTTTTCAACAATGAATGAATTGGGTACTTCTGACAACATAATTATTGATAAACAAACTACAAACTAAAATCATTTTTATAGGGTTTTAAGTTTACCATTATATGATATATATAAGTATCAATACAAGCCACTCTAGAAAATTAAACTTTTCACAATATTGCATGCATGAATTGCATGAAATATGTGAATCTTTGTTTCATTTACAAAATGTTAATTAAAGTAAAATTTTATTTCAAAGTGATAAAGTTCGCATAAATTTTATTTTAATCTACATCATCAGTTAGAAAATTCCTATCAATCTTTTAAAAAAAATCAAAATTACTGAGCTGAGGGTGATTCTCATGTTTTATCATTTGACTATATCCTGTTATCTCCCTTTTGCAGAACCTAAACCTTTGACAGATAATACTTTTCTACAAGTTTTGCTTTTTTCTTCAGTTAACATGAATTAATACTGTGTTATACCCTTGTAACTGAACATCAAGTCGTTCATGTGCATGCATGCTGCTGAGAATGACGACCTTCTCAAACTTATTTTCCTTAATCCAACTTATCAACCAGCGTCGAAAACTTGGCATCTTTCCCTGAAGTGGAAGAAAAATGAATACAGTGTACTTTATTTGAGGAAATTTAACATTAACAAACAGCCTTCTGAGATGGCTTGGTAGTATGGAGGTACGTGTATCTTTTCTTCTTTAATATATGATAAAAGCATACCTTTACAAAGGGAGCCCTCTGTTGAATAACAACCAGCTGATCTAGTTTACTTTCATACACTACAATAAAAAATAGGGATCATATATTCCCAGTAAAAGTTACATGTGTCTTTTTTATATTACAATATTTTTGGGGGAGGAAGGGGGATAATTGTTGGGGGTTACATTTTTTTCTATTGCAAACTTTATATTTATCAATTTTTTCCCATAAATTAACAGTTGAAAATTTTCCACTGGTTTTTATTTTTATTATTTCAGAGAGAGGGTACTAATTTATTTTAATTCTATATTTTCCCCCAAAGTCTTACCCTCACATGCAGTAACAACTTTGCAGACATCTGCTTCTGGATGGGCAAAAGGATCATTTCCAACCAAGGGCAGGATACTGTCATGATAGATGAAGCCACATTTGTCCAGCCACATGGTGGAAATCAACAAGTCAGCTGCTAGTTGTCCTACATTTCCCACTGATACTGCTGGCTACAATAAATAATCCAAGTAAATAAAAGGCTAGTAAGGAAATTTATGTAACTCTGTGTAATATCAATTTCAGCAGGTGGAGGCACATGAAAGATGGAGGAAAAAGAAATTGACCGTTATGTATCACAATTTGTCATTACATGTATTTAACATTCTGACAGTGTGTTAGGGTGTTAATTTATAAAAAAAAAACTTTGCAAGATTGAAGAATTGAGACAAAATCACTGAAAACCATCATAAAAACATTTTTTTTTTTAAGAAAGCATGATGTTGTTTTAAAACTGATAAAGATTTGTGTGACTTTTTATACTTGTTTTTGATTCTTAACTACCAAAAATTAATTGAAAGTGTAGAGCATTATGTATTGATGCAAAATTAATAGCGAGCAGCCTTATCATCCATCATCACTATGAGTGTGAACTCTTAAAGCAATACCTGGGTTAAGAGAAAAAAGAAGATTGGCGCATTTGGCATGTGATCTGCAGGAATCATTTGTACGAAAAGTTTATGGTTTAAATGTCCATGATTTGGTTGACTGAATATAGCTGGTCAGATTTTACAAACACGTCCATAGATTTTTTTTAGTTAGTTTGAAAGACCATGTGATATTGTAACATCTATACCCGTTTTTCCTAATTAAAGGGATACTATAACATAGTAATGTTTCACAAAAAATAAACATCTAAAATATTTAATGCATAGATGCATATATGTATACATGTACATTATAGAATAGAAGATTCGAATTGATTTCGCTCGAGAACCAAACTGAACCAAAATTTATCTAATTCAAAATTTTAATACATCAGGACATAAAACGAAACTGACAAAATAAATGGTTGTTTGCATGACAAAAATTAACGTCCCATGCCAGGCTCGAACCAAAAACTTTTCGCTTCGAGCGCACTGAACAGGTACCTCTACTTACTGAGCTATCACCTCTACATGTATTCAGATGATTTAAAAAGGACAAAGAAGCACCACATTAACACATTTGGATTTTTGGGGGAAAAGTACATTTTTCGTGGTCTCTGGGTCTTCTCTCCCTTTTTTAAAAATGTGTATTTGTTTCTTTGAAATAAAATACACACAAATAACATTTCAAAATCATGGAGAGAAGACCCAGAGATAGAAAAATTTTAGAATAACGTGTTTAAAAATTTACCATTTTGTACCAAATGTCTGGTCTGGCCAATTTTCAAGTTATTTTTCAGTAAATCAAAGCTCAATTTCGGGAAAATATTTTCCTTTCCTGTCGCACAGAAACCCGATAAATAAAAAAAATTATAAAATTTCATGTGAAACACATATAAAACACATGTGTTGATCAAATTTTCACTTTTCAATTACGCCCAGATTCCTGCCGAATGCCAATCAAATGCGCCCTCGTTCTTTAGATTTAAATTGCACATTGATCCAAATGATTTTTTTCTGCAGTTACCTATGGTCCTTTAGTGTAATAGTGAAATGCATCTCGCTGCAAACTACGTTCTTGCAGTAATATGAAACTCAACAAAAAAAATTAAATTCACCTTGATTTAATTGATATAAATGTAAAGCAGATAAAAAGTAGATTAAACATTTGTGGTTAAAAATACCCCTGATCAGACTTTGTTTTGGTAACATGTAATATGCATATGAAGTCATGTGACGTAGAGTTTCAGCTGATCTAAGATAAAGCTAAATAGGTGTCTAAAATTGCCCTGGTGATTGCACTGTCAACATATCAAGTCTGTCAGAAAGTAATAAATTTTGGGCTCAAATATTGTCACATTCATCTTTAGTGTGATTGTATTATGTACAATCTGGCACTAATCATATTGTGTTGTTTTTGTAGTACACAACAAAATGCAGGTAAAGCAAATACATGTAGTACCAGTGGGTAAAATTAGCAACTGGAGTAAGTTTAAATTCATACGGTAGCTTTTAATAGCTTATATATATATATATATATATATATATATATATATATATATATATATATATATATATATATATATATATATATATATATATATATATATATATATATATATATATATATATATATGTAGTCTTTCAATGGACTGGGCCTATTCATTAATTTCTAAAAAAAAAAAAAAAAAAAATGATGTTTAACTTTAAGGCCCTGAAATTAGCTGCAGATCTGTGGCTCTCCTAGCTGAAGAACTGTAGCTCTCTGAAAAAATATTTTGACAGAGTCTGTCAGACAGACCGATGAGCTACAGTGCCACTCATTGAAAAAACTGTATATTTATTGTGCACAAAAAAGTGTGATGTTTCTCAAGTTATCTCTCCATGTTTTCAAACTGTCATCTCAAAATATTACTAACCCTTTGTTCTTAACATAATCTTTCACTGTTTCCACAACAAAACATTCCTTATAACTGCATGATGCTAATAGCCCTCCTGGCCCTGAAATTGAGATCATCGAAAATTTCTTCTATTTATACTGTCATTTTGGTTTGCAAGATAATTCAGTGCAACGCACTTCATGCAGATGTCAACTGAACTATGAGAGCACTTCATAAACGGATAGAGGAGTAAGGAATTTTTTTTTTAATCTATCTTTTTCACCTTCAAGGGTAAGAATTTATTAGAATTAATCCTGAACTAAGTGCAACTTTTTGTACGCAATAAATATACAGTTTTTTCAATGGATGACACTGTAGCTCTCTAGTCTGTCAATATATTTTTTTCAGAGAGCTACAGTTCACACAGGCTAGCTGTAGCTCTCTTTAAAAAAAAATGGGATAGATAGTTGTCCATCCATATTTTTTTTTTCAGAGCAGGGAGCTACAGATCTGCAACTATCCTAAAATAAAAGTAATCTTAGTGTATCTCAAGGCATACACTAAACACAAATGGATCAGTAAGACAATATAATTTTATCGCTAGAGTGTCCTATCTCGTGGTCCTTGTGGTTACATGTACCGACTAGATCGCCTTCACAATATTCCAGCATTTAAAAAAGCATATTTCTTACCAAGATTAAGGTATATCCTTCAAATGACCGTGGATTCTTTTTGTCTACTGGTATAAACATTTTGTATGACTTCGAATGAGAATAAAATAATATAAACGCTCACACGATACAAAAAATATGTTTACTCATGGAGGCCGCCATTTTGTTTGCTATGGAGAAGTGTTACAAAAAGTTATTCGTAAACTTAAAAAAAAACTTGGGGAAAACTTTAGAAAAACATATATATCAGTGAAGTTTTTAGACAATGTTAATGTTTGTAAAATTTTTGGTCAAAATGAGTAAAATAGAAAAAGAAAAGTCCATGTTGAATTTTACCTGTGCATGTACCCTGCATGTGAATGATGTGATCTCAAGCACAGGCACATGAAGTATGGATAATACCCCCCCCTTTTTTTTAATGAAAAAAAATGTAAGAGTGTAAAATATCTCAAAAATATAAAATTTCCCCTTCAAACACATCTATATGTCGTTATATGCAAGCAGATTGTACTTTTTCTCACGTTTAAAGAATGGCCCTATTCGGTATAATATTAATAAAAATACACTTAAAATTATACAGTACATTATAATTTGTTTATTTATCCATAAATCTATTTGAAGTTTGCTATGTTTTTTGATGAATAATGTAATTTATTATACCGCATAGGGCCATTTTTTAATGTAGATGAAAAATTTAATAAGGTCGATGTTTAAAGGTCGATAATAAAATATATTGTATCAGAACACAGGGGCATCTTATCCACTCTGTTCTCTACTTCATATATAAAAATATTTTTATATATGAAGTAGAGAGAGAGTGGATAAGATGCAAAATTTGAAATCAGAACATGATACAGTGGAGTCGCCAATATTCCGGGTCGTCTCCTATTCCGGGTCACTCGCGTGTATTTTATGCCTAGTGTTAAAATTTAAGCGCAAAAAACTTAATGAATACGCTGGTCGTGAAGAATGGTCTTTCTGTCTGTAATTAATTACAAAATTTTGAATATCAACTTTAAGAGAGCATCCGACAATCAAAATTCTGAAACGCACTCATTAAAGACTTGGATGTTTCTGCTGCGGTGACGGGCTACTTTCGTTTTTGTTCGCTGCAGAAAGGCTGATATAAAAGTTCTAGATAAAATAATAAGAGCTCGAAAGTATGGCAAATGCATTTAGTTTTAACTCAGAAATCAATCATAATGATCGCTGCTCAAATAAAATTATAATGATTATTAAATCAAACTGTAGTAGTTTCTCCAATTGCGGGTCACGCAATCTCATGGCATGAACAGCTCAAAATTCTATGTACAAAACCAATCGACAACCATGTATTTACCTTGATTATCAAAAGCATTCTAACTGGAAAATATTTTTTCTAAAAAATAAAATCGAGTTAACCCTTCAAATGCATCTTTTAAATAAATGAATTTAATTGTATTATTCTAATCCTAATACATTTTTTTACATTTTGCATACTGCAATTTGTTTTGTTGTAATTGTTTTAAAAATAATTTAAACATATTTCTGTGATTGTTTTACTTTTTTCCAAGCTGCATGAATTGTTTTATGTTTCAACATAATAAAAATCGTGTTCCAAAACGTTCCATGAATATTACACGACCGTGAAGTCACCTGACCCGGAAATGGAGAAAATGATTCGTAACTGGGGAAGCTAGGCCTTGCTGAAATACCCTAGTAAATATTGTTCCCGTGTAGCTACTTTGAAAACGAAAAGGTGTTTGGATGACTCACTATTTGTTCTTTCAATACATATATTGCATAAAATATAAATTGAACAGATTTGCAAACTATCAACGAAACACCCTGACGTGACCCGGAATTGGCGATTTCACTGTATTTCTTCGTGCATCTATATATAAAAAAGTGACTGTCACAGTTAAATTAAAAAAAAAAAGATACATAGATAGATAAAACAAATGGTAGCCTCAAAGTCTTTCACGGAACATCTTCACAAACCTGTAAGCTATAGAATGCCATATACGACAGCCAACTGCTTACTGCCAACTGCTGACTGCTTACTGCCAACTGTCAGCTGCTTACCGCCAACTGCCACACATATTTGAATAAATTTTATATTTATATTGATATTTACATGTATATGAATTTTCAAAAAAAAAAAAAACAAACAAACAAACAAAAAAAAAAAAAAAAACAAAAAAAAAAAAAGAAAACAGGCGCGGATCCAGGACATTTTTTCCCAGAGGTCACCCTGGTAAAATTGAATTGACTTAATGACCATTATGTTTTAATTTATGTAATATTCAATATACAGTGTATGCCATTGATAAAGTACATTGTTTATTTTTATTTTCTTATTTGAAATAGGTAATAAAATGACTATTATCTGCTTTTAATCTTAAAAGAAGTAACACACCCACCCCACCCCATCCCTCCCACCCCCACCCCCGGAGACAACAAAACCTTTGAAGAGAGAAAATAAAAAAAAAGATTTGTCGTTACGCAGATAATGATGTTTTGAAAATAAATTTATATTTTCCATTATATTTTATAGTTAAAAATTTCCTCAAATTAAAGATGTATTTCTCTGTGTGTTATAATGTTTCACATGCAAATATCTTGGGGGTAGACTGGGGAGGGGGGGGGGCATTTAAATTTTCACATTAAGGAAAGGACTTTACGTGTTTTTTTTCTTGTCAAGAAATTTCTGGGTTGAATTTTTTTTTATATGAGTGACCCTCTTGGAAAAAATGTTCTAGATCCGCGCCTGTTGTTGTTTTGTTTGTTTGTTTTTGTTTTTTGTTTTTTTTTTTTTTGTTGAAAAATTAACATAAATATAAATATAAAAATAAAATTTATTAAAATATGTGTGGCAATTAGCAGTAAGCAGCTGACAGTTGGCAGTAAGCAGTCAGCAGTTGGCTGTCGTACATGTATATGGCATTCCATAGTAAGCGGATATTTTTAATTATAAAATTTTTAATATGATTTTTTTTTATTTTACATTTTCGTTTTCATTTAAGTTTTTATCCTGCAACTACCCCTTGCATTGACCTAATAAAGGTAACCTAATAAACCAAAGCTTTATCCGGTCACTGCCCTAATAAAGCCTCGTGCATGTATTCCGACGTCATGTATAATGCAATGTTTACGCCTGTAGCGTCATAGTTTCAACTGAAGAGATGTGCCTAAATCTGTCGAAAATAGCTAGTTTTGGACGTTCAAATGTAAAGAATATGTTGCAGGATAAACAAAATACATGATAAGCCTCGCCCTCTATCACGTTTTCTTACCCTCGCCCAAATATCGCTTATATTTCAAGACAGTAACCATGTATTTTATATATATGTAACATAACTTAAAAATTATAGTCTCCGAAAATTAAAAAAAAAAATATACAGGTTATATTTAGAATACCAGTGTATCTATTATGACATCATAGTCACAAAACATTATACGTCACAATACCTCATTATTGGCATTGTCAGGAAAGTTTTCCTAAGAAAAATTTAAATTTTACACAAAAACATCATGGATTGGGCCCAAAGT